TAATACGCAAAACACTGGGTCACAGACCCAGGACCGTGACAGTTTGCAAGTTAATCTTACTGCTGATGTCATCTTGTACACCTTTAAGCACTTTTTCCACCCCTAAAAAACTACCTGGATGCCAACGGTCATAATAAGCTTTTTGCAATCAAAGTTATACTCGGCCATGCGTGATCCTCAAAGTTAAGCTTAATTGTCGTCAAATCATAATCAAACCAATGGTTTATTCAAGAAACAAACTCCTGTTAAAACTTTAAAACATGTTCTTTATTTAAGTAAAACAAATCAATACACTCAATTTTTAAAAACAAGTAAATACACACACACACACACACACACACACACACACACACACACACACATTGATTTAACTGATTTAGAAGATTAATAAAATCACAACAGATATGCAGCCTCACTCCACCGACAAAATCTTGTTTTGTTATTTAAGACATTAGGACATTGGTTTTGGAAATCTCAGTAACACTAATCTCTAATTCTGACAGAGAATTCCCAATGTCACTTGATTCTCTGACCTCAAAGAGATAAACTTCTGCAGCCCCTCTGACCTGAGCAGGGTGAGGTGAACTAATAGAATGGCTGTGAAATGTCCATTCCAAAATCTTTTACACACTTCATCAGAATAGCAGAAGAAATATTATTTTTCCTTCAGAAAAAGACAAGAATGAAGCCTTCACAGATCTCCTGACGTTGTTTCTGAATTAATAGATTAATTATATATTTTACTATTATATATTTTATTATTAGTTTGGTGAGCTCTAAAACAGTGTTCAGGAGTAGACTGCCTGTCTCCCCCTCCTGTCTTAGCAAGCTCAGTCTGAACTTCAGTCCAGTACCCAACTAACATGGAGTATGGAGACCACTATTCCACCCTTGGGGGGAATTTGACCCATCCGCTGGCCCAAGGTCTCTGTATACAGAGGCTCTATAGCTGGACTTATGGGGGTGCAGTTGTCCAAAGACAGGGTCAATGTTGACAGAGTATAAGAGTCAGCAAGGCCCAATCAGAAGCCGTCAGCGTGATTGTGGTCGTTAGCAGTGTTGGTCAAGTTACTTGAAAAAAGTAATCAGTAACTAATTACTGATTACTTCCCCCCAAAAATAATCCCGTTACTTTACTAATTACTTATTTTCAAAAGTAATTAATTACTTAGTTACTTTTTAAAAACACGATTTACAACCTGAAGAGGTGATAAAG